GAAGCAATTCCCTTATGTCTGTGCAAGTATCTGAGGTATTTTGTTCGTTCTGAAAAAAGGTCCTGTGTTAGTATCATCATTTGTAATGCATGTTGTTTTTTCAAGTTAATGAAGCAGGGTGGCTAATTAATTTTAAAACAATATATGATGCACCATTTAAGAAAACAAAATATATTTATATAATAGCTTTGATTTCAAAATCTTTTGAGAAGAAGTAAAAATATGAGACCTGTTTTGATAAGGTAGTGTTTAAGAAATTAGAAATGTAACATTTGTGTGCTCTTCATACTTGCCTCGACATAGAACATGGAAGCAAAATATCTATATCCAGTAGTCATATTTCATAATTCCCTTGATTTTTTTTTTTTAAATTCCCTTTCTAAGTCATATTACTATTATATTGAAATGACCTGTGATTGGCAAATGTTCTGCTATTTCTTCAGTGCCCTCAAGTGGTTGCTCTGTTTTACAGCTTGTATTTATATGTATTACAATATTTTATTCCATTTCTATCTACATTTTGCTTGTAAAACAAGTTCACAGATTTTGTTTGGAGATTTTTTTGGTTCTTTTTTTAAATGACATATTCTGAGGTGAGGTGATGGCCTTGATCGTAGTGTTTTAACCAAGTTTGTCTGAGTTCTATGTTTAGAGTGCTGACAATATTTTCTTTTGGTGTTTTTTTTTAATGTTGATGGACTCTTAGCTTAAAATTTAAAAATCAATAAATGTTCTCTAAAATCAAGAAATAGCCAGGTAAGGGTGGGACTCAACTTTTTCTTGCTATTTTCCATGTATAGGCCAGAAGCTCCATCAAAATTAAATGAGCATCATGATTATACAATGTGATTTACAGTTATAATTAGACTCCAAAATTTGCATCAAGAGTTATTGTCTGCATGTTCACTTTATTCCAGCATGAGAGATCTTTTCTAGTTTGGTCTTGTTTTGAAAGCAACATAAAATCCGGAAAAAGGCACTATTACTCTGTAAGAAGAGTCTGTATAGGGAGTTTTACTCGTATAACTATAGTGGTATAATTTATACCACTTTTGTTAGGCTGGCAAACTTTCCCATGAAGATAAATTGTTACTCTACCTTGTCGAGGAATATGGTCAGTCCTTTTTTGATGATAATGTAAACCTTGTCATCGTTCTCTCTTGGCAGTTCTAGTAAGGTAAGCATTCTGGGGACCCCAGCCAGTATCAAGAAGGTAAGGTCTCTGGTGTAGAATGATGACTAGGGTAGGGAGGAGAGGGGACATGAGTTATCTTCTTCCATGTCAGGGCTTTCCAACTGGTGGCCTGTGGGCTGCATGCAACCTGCAAGTGGTTAACCTGCAGCCCCCCAAGCTTCTGTCTGGCTACCACTGCTCCTATTGCTCTGGTTGCAGTAGAACTTGGGGTCTTAGGGCTCCTTCTTCTTTCCTTAGTTTTTGCTGCATGCACCTGCCCAAAGGGGTGGGGCAGCATGGTGTGGCACTGGCATAGCCCACAGTGCCAGGTGGGGCAGCTACCTGGATTGGATCTTTGTGGGTCAGATCTGGTTAGTGGGCAGTAGGTTGCTGACCCCTGGCCTTGGGATTAGGGATATGCCTTCTGCTAGTCTCTTGTAAATCTGTTCAGTTGTTGAAAGTTGCCGTTTCCTTATTGTTTATGTGAAGAATAGCTTTATGGTTGTACTCTATACCCTGATGATGTAGCCTGCTTCAGCACCTTTCAACAAAATCTTACTAACCCTGCTTTGACAAGCAAACAGTGAATTTTTCAATTGTTTGCTCGATGAAATTGGTTCATTATAGTTGCAAAGAGCTGTAAAGAGGCAGGCAAAAGAGGTTTAGTAACTTCTGGTTGTCCATGTTTTATTCTAAAACACTTTAATTGATGTCCTTGTACTATAATGATTGTCTGCAATATAAAACACTTGAGAGGAATGTATACATGATTTAAAACTGCAAAGATTATGGGGGCGGCATTAGTTCAAAAGGGACTTCTGACTGAGCTGATTAACTCTAGTATAAATGAGTTTAAAGCAATCATCATCCATCATCATCTTCCCTTCTAATAAGATATTTAGCTTTTTGCTGATATTACTTTCTGATGTGCACTCTGACTGCAAATTATCTATGGATGACTCTTGATTTTTGTGATGGGGAGGGAGAGCACATGTAAATTGTCATAATCTGGCACAAAGGTTTTGAAAAAAATTGGAATAAAACATTTCAACAGTTCCACATGTGAAGTGCCTGTTCCCTGATTTTGATCCAGTGAGGAGTAGCTTTGACATATAAACTACAAATTTGTTACACTTAAGATCAGATTCTTGTCTAATGTAAGTTGTTGGTTCCATTGGGATCAAATTTCTGCAATGAGTTAAACCGATGAGAATATGGAACACGCTTTTAAATAGTCATCCTGTTTACTCCTATCATTACTAAATAAAATACTCTTTAAAGGTCACCTGCATTGTGCGGTGATGAGGTGTTAAACGAGATTAAGATGAAGTACTATTAATGGAGAATGGAAATTGTCAAAAGAGAAATGTTTGTTTAGACACAATGGCTCTAATAAAGTGTTTGCATCTAGGATTCAATGTTTCCATGGAATCAAAGGCAAAGAATCAAATCTAATTCTACAAAATCAAATGAGGCTTTCATTGCAGTAGGAGATCTAATGTGGGAAGGTGATGATGAGGAACAAGATACTTTGCTTATCATGTGCCCATTAAAGTAAATGGGAAGCTTTTGACTTCACTGGATGTTGGTTTGAGTCTTGTCTCCATGGCGCTTCCTGAGACCAACCTCAAGCAAACTTTTAAAAAATATTCTTTCTCCTTTCTGTTTTTCTGCATTGTAGGAGGATACAAACATTGAAGTGTCAGAACAATAAAAATATTTTTGGGGAATAAAGACCACTGAGTTGATTAAGTATTTTTTAGTCTTTAGTGAGATTGTGAAATATCACATCAGATTTAGCTTCCTAACAGCTAGAAGATTTTTGACCTAATGAATTCTAGAGAGGTGATGTTTTTCATATCTTACCAAGTTTACTATTCAGGCTTATTTCACTTTCAGTAAGCTACTTTTGAGCAGCAGTGCCCTCTTATGGGCAAAAATACATTAGAAATAAAAGCATTATTAGGAAAATGTTTTTTAAAAGTACATTAGATGGTAGAGTTAGAGAGAAACAGGAATCTGCACATGGTAGTCATATTGGTATGTAGGTGAACAACTGGTGGAGCATTCTTAGGCAGTGCTTTTAACATGTAGTTCACATTTGCCCAGGGTAGACTACTACTAGTCTGTTAAAGCTAAAACAAACTGAACCCCTTCATGTGAACACCATTTATCCAGATTGCTCTGACTTTGCTGTTTGTTCAGTCTGGTACTTCTGCAGAAATACCTACCTTCTGAATGATTACTGATTGCACAGCTGTCCAGCCAAAACCATTACTTTGGAAAGAGCTTCTGTGATTCTTGTCTGAGCAGTCACTGTATACAAAAGATTTGGGTGTTGAAACACTAGTCATTTTTTTCATGGGTGACAGGACTATAGGTCTGATGTTTCTAGGGGTTTTATATTAGATAAATACAAGGGAGGGTTGTTATCTTGATTCTCTGATGCGTCTGTCTGTTAAGTTCAGTCAGGGTTGAGAGTTTGGTTCTGTTGAGTAGCTGGTTATAGTTCTGTCTGCTTCTGCCTGGCCCATGGCACAGGTTAGAGCAGCCTTAGCAGTTGCTCTAATCTGCCAGCTGACAGAGTTTACCACAGCATCATTCAGCAACTGGGAATTTTCCAAATTCAATTGGTTTCAGCCAAGGGTGCACCAATAGAGATTTTTTGGGCTGATATCAATGGCCAAATGCTAATGAGTCATATTGGCCGATATGCAGCTGAGCAGCTTGGAGAGCCGTGTCTGGCTGGTAAGTCTGTTGGGGGGGGACGGGACAGGGAAGGGGCATGGGGGCGCAGATCAAGGTCCCTGCTGTAAGGGAGGGAGTGGGGCCGGGGCAGGGGCAGGCGCTGCACAGACAGGGCAGAGCATGGAATAGAGCTGTGAGCACCTTGTCCAGAGGGCGTGGGGGGAAATGGCTCCTGCTACTGCATGCACCCCAGGAGGGCATGGGGAACATTGCCCCCAGATCTGTGCATGGGGTGAGGGTCAGCTGCCATTGCAGGCTGTGGCCAGGGTGGTGCATAGCTGTTCCTGGCAGGGGGCCAGGCCAGGCTGCATTTGGGGCGGGCAGCAGTGGCGCTGGGAGGGGAGCTATGGGACAGGCTGAAGCCACAGCAGAATTCACTGTAGCTGCCCCCAACCCCAAGTGCAGCCCCAGCCCCGCCCCCCGGAAGAGCCCGGTGCTGCCCTGGACATAGCCTGCAGTGGTGGCTGCCCTCGCCCCACACAGATACGGAGGCACATGCTTCTCATGCCCTGTGTCCTGCCCCGGCTGGGCAGTGCCTGCGCTAGCCCCACTCCCTCCTTCGGCTCAGGGGCCTCGATCTGCCTCCCCCCGCCCCCCCTTCCCTCACAACAGACTTACCAGCCAAACCCAGCTGCCCTCCATACTGCTGGGCTGTGCTCCTGGCCACCTGCATACTGTGCTGCGGCTGCGTGCATACACGTGGCTTTTATTGGTCACATCAGCCAAAAAAAGTTGATTGCCGATACAGTCAATTTTCCTTATATCAGTGCTGATCCAATATGGGACTGATGTATCAGTGTACCTCTAGTTTCAGCCACTGTTGCTCCTTGCC